TCCTCTTTCCCCTCTTTTCTTCTCCATGGCTCGGTGCTTCCGGCACAGAAATTTCTCCATCCTCCTGCTGAGTCTCAGCCCGTGAGGATGCGAGCGACAGAAATTCACCTGCGGCTGAGCCCGGGGAGGAGGCAGCCGATCGCCTCGCAGCTGCTCTAGGATGAGAAGGAGAGGAGAAGAAGCAGGAGAAGAGGAGAAGAAGCAGGAGGAGAGGAGGTACAGCAGGAGAGGAGGAGGAGGAGGAAGAGGAGCAGGAGCAGGAGCAAAGAGCAGCAGCAGCAGCAGGAGCAGTAACGAGGAGCAGGAGCAGGAGCAGGAGCAAAGAGCAGCAGCAGCAGCAGGAGCAGGAGCAGGAGCAGGAGCAGGAGCACGAGCACGAGCAGGAGCAGGAGCAGGAGAAGGGTGGAGGAATCAGAGAGGATGGAAGAGAGGGAGTCAAAATACGAAGGAAGAATAAGAAGGAGGAAGGGTGGACCGTTTTCTCCTCAGGTCGATATGATCTTGTAGGCGATGACGCGAGCAGAATTCAGGTTTACTTGTTCCCTCCTCCCCGAAGCTTGCTATCTGTGCAGGTGTACCCTTCATCCACATGTACAGAACAGAGAAGGAATAGGAGCGGCAGCAGGACGAGGAGGAGGATTAGCAGGAGCAAGAGGAGCAAGAGGAGGAGGAGGAGCAAGAGGAGGAGGAGGAGGAGGAGGAGGAGGAGGAGGAGGAGGAGGAGGAGGTCTGATAAGAAGGGCAGGAAGGAGATCGAGAGGATTGAGAGAGACAGGAAGCGAGAGGCGCAGCAACTGCAGGTAATGATGTAGAGGAGTGAGAGCCGAGCATCGTTGGTCAGGGAGGCATGATGATGATGATGATGATGATGATGATGATGATGATGTGGAGGAGGAGGGGGGAGGGGAGGAGGAGGAGGATGTGGAGGAGGAAGGGGGGACAGGGAGAGACCTGACATATGGTGCAGGATGACCTCCTTAAAGAGCGGGAGGAGAAGGAGGGTATGAGGAAGAAGTTAGACGCGGCTTCTGCACGTGTCAGGTAAAGGTGGAAAGATGGGGAGACGATTGAAAGGAGCAGGAGGAGGGGGAGGAGGAGGAGGAGGAGGAGTGATGAGGACGAAGGAACCTCGAGAAGGACTGCAGGGATCTTCGTGACAAGATTCAAGTGACTTTGTCTTTTCTTGTTTGTTCGCTTTGACTTCCTTTCCCGTCCAGATTCTTATCGCAAAGACTGACAATGACGACAACTTGATTGCTGCACTACAAGTGAACAATCCCTCCCTCCCTCCCTCCTGCTCCCTCCCTCCTATTCTTGCCTGTTCCTCCTCCTACTCAACCCTCCTCTCTCTATCCTACCATCTCTTCCTCTTCTTCTTCCTCCTCCCTCCCTCCTCTCCTCACAGATCTCACCGCTCCTGGCAGTCGGAGATGGAGGCGATGGCGAGGAAGACGAAGGTGAGGAGAGCAGGACGAGGTTTTCGTCAGTGATACGCCAGCAGGACGAGAGGAGGAAGGCGAGGGGGGAGGAGAGCGGGGCCCTGGAGGAGCTGCAGGAGGTTCGGAGGCAGCTCAAGGACAAGGAGAATCAGGTGGATAGGCAGCAGAAAATCATTATCTCCTTGCGGGCAGAGCTGCAGGTAAGACAGCAGGGAGGAGAGGAGGAGAGGAGGGAGGAGGGAGGAGGGGCAGAGTGGAGGAGGGAGGAGGAGGAGGAGGAGGGAGGAGGAGGAGGAGGGGAGGGGGGAGGGAGAGGAGGAGGAGGAGGAGGAGGTA